TGAATTGGAAAAATATGAAATAAAGAAAATAACTTACTAGCACCGAGATTTACATTGTTCACCTTTTCAGCCAATGTCCACGGGAGAAAGAGATCAAATCCATTAAAACCCTCTAGAGGATTTGATCTCTGGGGTAACCCTAATTGTCTTTTCGTTGACCTATAAATGCCCCTTTCATTATGCAAATGGAAGAGAAATTTTTTGCATCCAAAAAGCATACGGTTAGAAAGCATGTCAAGACATCAGAGGGGGAAAAATTCAAAAGAACAAATAATTCTTAAAGAGATAAAAGGGGATTGGATGATCAAGGTTTGCCTACAGCTTCCGGGTGTAGTTTCTTTGGGTTTTATATAATTGGAGTCATATTTCATGAAAAAAATCTCATAGAGCTCTGATTTCCATCAAACAGTTATTTTTTTTTTTTTTTTTTCACAAATAAAACTATATAATGTTTTAAGAATCCAATATTTACTCACTTTGATTTTCAGGGATGTGGAGATGTATGGTAAACCGTTTCCAATACTGCAAAAAGAAGGGTGAAAATATGGAGTAAAACTTGCAGCACATCAGCGTATAAAGAAATCAAAGTGTGTTTTGATGCATCATACGGCCTATAAAGAAATGAAGTGTGCTTTGATGCATCATACCAAAAAGCGAAAAGGGTTTGAGACTTAATGTTCTTTACATAACGGTGAACTTTATATGCAAAAAAATAGAAAAGAGAGAGAACTAAGACATTAGCTGATTAATTTGGAAGACATTGTATTGTCCGTTGACCAACGGACTACTATTCTTGTGTCCCATGTTATAATGCACAGTTGGAAAATGATCTCAATGGCACTTACTACCTAGCAATCTTTGACCTTAATGCTTCCCATGTTTGTCCATCCAACAACTCAAGCAACATTTTCCAGTTCAATTTTTGAATAATGCATTCGAAGTTATTTTATTTAATTAGATAATATGATGTTTATTAAACTTAGTCACAAACAAAACATTGTTTGATGCCAATGGTGCTATTATAATTTGTGAAATATATAAAAATGCTCATAAGCATTTACAATTTTAACATTTTACCCAATTGCAACTATTACAACTCATGATTATGTGTCTTTTCATGGATACTTTGAAATTAAATCAAAAGATATAGATAGACTGTTAAGTAGTTCTTCTTTTTCTAGGATAATATTTGACTATTCATGAATAAAAATAAATTACTAAATATTTGTAATTCCCTATAAAAAGGCATCGGTCAATAATATTCTAATAAAAATTCCTCCTGATGCCGATAGTTGTAGCTAAGGATTCGTCAGTGGCAGGATTTGAACCTAGGACTTTCTAATTTCAGTTTGATACCAAATGTTTATGGTATATTCTAATATGTTATGCATATGTGATATAGAGTTGCCCCGTGTGATACTGAACATACGGTATGCCTTCGTAAATGAGTTCTTGGCAAAGGTAGTCAGGTTGGTGGGTGCCATGATATCTGTGAGTCTTCCATTCTCACCGGATTCTAAATTAATACTAAAAGTAATGTATATCACCATCATCATCATTAGAGCCGTATCCCAGTTATTTAGGGTTAACCACATGAATCCTGTTATGCCATTATGCTTGATCGAGGCCATACCTTTACTAAGATTGTAGATATCCTATTTTTGAAACTGGTAAATTCCATTGTTTTCCTGAATCCTTAGGATCATACTATTCCATAAGATTCATAAACAATAGAATACCATAGCCCATAGTTCCCATCCTGTGATCCAATATCCTGGCATATTTTTTGGTTATTAAAGTATGGAAAATTTTTATATAAGGATGCTACCTTATAATGTAGGACTACGGATGCCCCTCAAAAATCCATCGGAACTTAGATTAGAATTCAAATTGTCCCCTCTCTATCACTTGTAAAAAAATGTTTATAGTTCAGATCCGAGGGATCTTCCTCCGAAGATCTCTCTGATCTGCATCATAAATGAAGATCATAAGTCCCCATATCTCTTCCCACTATTTCTATCTATATTTATTTGGGCCTTTCCATTGCCTTTTTAGAACCTTCTACATGAACTAAATTGTACGTCCTAACCAATAAAGTATTGGGGCATACGCTACACATGGTCAGCTGAACTAAGTCTACTTTCCGCCACACCTAAGTTCCCTCGAATGTATTCATTTTGAATTTTATCCTTTCTTGTCTTGCGACTTATTTACCCTAACATCCTCATCTCAACTACACTTATTCTACGGATATGTTGTTTCTTGACAGTCCAACATTTTGCTCTATAAAGCAAAAATTGTCTTATAATTGTCTTAAAGAACTTCCCCTTAAGCTTAAGTGGTATGTGGCGATCACATAAAATACCAGTTGCACATCTCAAGTTTGACCACGCAGCTCTTATTCTATGTGTGACATCTTCTTCAATCTCTCTATTTTTTTTGGATTATTAATATAAAATATCCAAAATACTCTCTTTTAGGTATGTCTTGGCTATTAATCTTAACTAATTTCATATTTCTACTCTGATTATTTACTAAATTGGCATTCCATATATTCTATCTTAGTGCGATTAATCTCAAAATCTTTAGTTTCTACAGCATCCTTTCAAAGTTCTAACTTTACATCAACGTTATTTCTAGCCACATCGAACAAAATCATGTCATTTGCGAGCAACATATATTATGGTACCTCACCTTCTAAGTGCTTAGTTAACTCATCTACAATTGAAACAAAGAGATATGGGATTAATGTTGACCCCTGATGCATACCTCTTGTATCTGAAAACTCAATTATCTCTCACTAGTTGTCATCACACTAGTTCACACTCACTCCCTCATATATATATCTCTCACCATGTCAATATAGAATTTAGAAACTCGTTTTTTTCAAGCACCAACTAAATTAAATCTTTAAGTATCTTATTGTAAGCATTATCTAAATCACTAAGGCCCATGCATAGGTCTTTTTCTCTCTCTCTGAACTTCTCAATCAGTTGTCTAAGTAGGAAAATAGCCTCAACTGTTGACCTTCCAAGCATAAAACAAAATTAATTTTCTAATACAATCGATTCATATCTTAGTTGTTGTTTAATCAATCTCTCTCATAGCTTCATAGTATGGCTCATAATTTAGATCCGTCGATAATTCGTATAATTATGTATATCTCCTTTGTTCTAGTAAATAGGTATTACAATACCTTTTCTCCATTCATTTGACATTTTCTTTGTTTTCAATGTCTTGTTGAACAATTTGGTCAGCCAACATATGTCAATCTCCCCTATGTACTTCTAGACCTCTCTCGGGATACCATCTGATCCTAAAGACTTTCCTATCTTCGTCCTCCCCAATGCTTCTTTTACTTCGGGTGTCCTAATCATGTGAATGTATCAATGTTCTCTGCTCTCATTCATGCAAAAGGCTCCTCTTAATATTGTGTTCCCATTGTGTTCATCATTTAACAATTTTTAACATAAACTATCCATTTTTTGTTGTCCTCGACATCCTTCACCAAGATCCTTTGCTCCTCACTCTTAATTGGTCTAAATAACTCTCTCTCTCTCTCTC